AGGTACCTAAGTAATGCTTACTGCATCCTACATAATGCATTAAGTATTACGTAAGATTGCATGATTAATTTGAATGACGCAGTTTAGACTTATGGCGCTGTTTCTAAGTCAGAGAGATGACGTTCCCAAACTAAATGAAAAATAAAAGAGGTTATGTCCAATTAAATTTAGAAGTTTGCTTTCGTTTTTTTATTTTATATATACAGGGTGATTCTAAATTGCTTTTGCAAATTAAGAGGGGTAATAGTACTCATCCAGATGAGCAATAATTAACATAGAACATAGAAGCGTATTCCACTCTGAGAGGCAGAAAAGAAAAATATTAGAATTCTAATCTGAACTTACTACAGTGTTGGGAGAACGAATGAACGAGACCAAATGTTGCACAATCAGTTTAGTGACAAACTCACAGAAAGTGCACAAAACGGATAAAACCGAAAACTTGGCGTGAGGTTAATTAAGCTGGACTTTGATGGCTAACACTCAAATTCACATCTTTGGTTGGCAAGGTGTAACCTCGCAAATGATTGGTTACTTCCTGAAATTTGCATATGATTCTTGAAGATGTGTGTAGTGATTTTACAGGTGATATATTTATTTTAGAGTTCGATTTCCGCGTGACTCCGAATTATCCTTAATTTATGGACATGAGTGTATATAATTTAATATGCCGGGCAAAGTCATGTGGTGTCCACATTAGATTTTTCCCCCTTGGGTTTGTAAATTTCAACTACTTAATTTCGTTGTAAAATTTATACGAAACACTAAACCATTGAACCAAGTTTTATAATTTAAATTTGCTCTTTCTTAACCTTGTTCTTCGAGAAAGCTGTTTTACCCCCTTTAATAAATCACGAAATTATTAAATTTACTTATCCTTTTTATATCGTTATGTAACATTAATTCTTTTATCCTTCATGAGACTGCAGTTGGAAATTGCGTTTGAGATATTTTCCTCGAATGGAATTAAAAGTTTTCAACTCAATACCCATTATTTCTTTCTTCCTTAATCTTTTACTGGTTAGAGCGTGTTTATGAAATATGCAATGGTAGCTAACAAATTGAGAATTCATCATTTTGGCATAGAGTTATAAATCCATTTATGCGGCTTGTAATTGCTTCTACTCTGTTTATTGTTATTATATGTTAAATAGAAATAAAATTTTAAAATGCTAAGATTTTAAAGATCGCCCGAAAGGGCTCTGTACTGTGATTCTAAACTAATAAGTGGACTGTATAGCAAAAGAACTAACTAATTTATTTACAGTAATTAACGTAATCCTACATAATGCATTAAGTCATTACGTAAGTATGCGTAGTCATTAAGTCGTTACGTAATACTTAATGCATTATGTAGGATGCATTAAGCATCTAATACATGCTCTGGCATGTTGCTTAGCCGAATCCAAATGGCCAAGTGAGAGTTTCTCTACTTATCCAATAGGTGGCGCTGTATTCTAACTTAACAGGCTCTTTAAAAGTTTAATGTGGTTTATCGGCAGAGGTTATCGATTGAGTTGGCCCGGATGGAATAGCGTAACATTTTTTGGATACTGGATGAATATGCATTTAGACTAGCATAGGAACGTTACATATCTTCTGCACATTTAAAAACTAAAAAAAATATGTCATTTAATTATGTAAAAATATTTAAAGGTTTGAATTAGATACATCAGGAAGTAAATGCAATTTTATTTAAAGCAATCAGATTAAAAAGTAAAACATAATATTCTTAAGAACTGTATCTATTGCCTTAAGATAGTTTGATTTGTTAATTAGTAACAGATAGATTAAATATGAAAGAATGACATGTTTTTGAGGTTTTAATGACAGGATGTATTTCCTCGTACTAAGTATATCGAAATATACCATTTCATAATACAGAGAGTAAAATTTTTGGAAAGGTAAAAGTATTTGAAAATACTCAGTTCTGTCGTCGGCAATTGAAGACTGGATTTTAAATATTGACTATTGATTTTTTGACAATTACAATATAATATTTTCTTGTACGAATGTCTCTGATTCGTCATGATCTTTCATCAGAGTAGATTTTTACAAATCATACCGAACATTTCAAAGACTTTGTAAAATGTCTTTATAACGTATTTCTCCCGCCTTCTTAGCATGTCTTCGTGGTGTAGTGGTCAGCACACTCGACGCGCATTCGAGAGGTCCGTGGTTCGAGTCCCGACGAGGGCATTGCTCATTTTTCATCTCATGTGCTTCGAAATAACCTAATGTCTCTACATCTTAAAACTATGTCCCATAATAGTGGATTTTACACAATAGGTCTCCGGAGTTTATTTTCTCTTAAGCTCACAAGGCCAGTCTCCAGATTTTAGAAAAACCTCTAAATCGTCCAATTATTCTTCATAATTCTGTTTTTCTTTAACAAAAACAAGCTGTGAACTTAAGTTAGGGATCTTCGAACGAATGCTATCCTTATACCCTACACTTACACAAATGATCTTTCGTGTTATCTCACTGGAGATCCTTTGGAGTCGTGGGTAATGTCATGTCATATGTACAGGAAAAGAATCCAAAACTTGCCAGTCTGAAGGAAAGAATCATTGTACAAATGTTCAGCCTTTCTTGCTGAAGTATGATCCGAGATATAATATTTTTACGGAACGTCCAGCTGCGGTAAGATAGCTTTCCCGCAAAGCGGGTTTAGGCTTGCCAGAAAATGGCAAGGAGATTCAAGGTTGCCAGATTTGAACGCAATCGCTCATTTGATGGCATTTGGAGACAAAACTGGTGATATGCCTTGACGCAGCAAGAACATTCTGGAAAGAATTCTTCCCGGTTTATCCCATAGGGTTCTCGAAAGCAGGTCAAAAGCTATATAAACCTTGCCTGTACGCGGAGTAGTAGTTTATCCTGAAGTTCATCGTGAGAGTACATTGAGTTCACTAGTGGTGTCTTGAGCTCCGAGAGCGACCGAACCGAGTCGGGAGCTGTACTTTAGTGCTTTGCAGTGAAGCTGTCTTCCCCGTTGTGGCCTGAAGGCTATGTTGCTGATTGTTTCAGCGTGCTTAATGTTGCTTTTCGGTAATGTAAACGAGTTTTTGGAACTGTCCTGAGTAATACTGGCGAATAAATTGTATTTTGATTCTTCATCACGTGTTTTCATCAATCGCTCCAAATCCACGAAGAACTCAACAATAGCCTTTCGAATTAATTAAAATACAATAACACGCCGAACAAATATCAATTTAGAAGTCAAACAACAGAAATCAGCGTTACATTTTTCAAATTTTCACAGGACTAGTTTCTCTGATTTTACCGAACTATCATCCTCAGCTGCCAAAGCGTAAATGAACTGCACTAGTCCTGTGAAAATTTGAAAATATAAAGCTGATTTTTGTTGTTTGACTTCTAAATTAACCCTTTCGAACTGCTATGTACAATTACTGCGGCGTATGATTGGAATTACTGTAAACGCGATTCAAAATTTTATGCTATTAAACTTGCACCATACTCTACAGTATTTTTCGACACACTGTATGCTAGGTGTTACGGATTTCCTTGCATATAATTCCTAGCTGGGGAATAGCATATGTCTGATTTAGTCGATATTTCAGTCTGCGTTAAAATAAACCACAATAATCCCATACATTTCATGAACCTAGTGTATGAAAAAAGCAACAATTAAGCATTTGTATGGCATTTATTAATTTTTACAGTTTCGATTCTTAAGCGTATTAGAAAGATTAATGTGTATGTTGTTATGATGTGTTTACGAATCAGTTGTACTTGTGTGTACATCTCTTTGTTAATCTTTTTGAATTGGTATCTGAGGAGCAAAATTTACAGACAAAATTCTATGATTCTGCATTTAATGTTTTCTTTTCTTTTACTTCGATTTATTCTAATTTAGTTAGAAGGAGGATGCCGGATTGACTACACCAGAAGAATCATACCATTTGAGATGTGGTTCTTCCATTTGTAGCTTTATCTAGTATCATTTTCCTAATCCTAATCGTATTGGAATAATCGGTTGGTTTTCCTATTTTGCATTATGTCCTTTAAACGAATCTTGATTTTAGCTTTAGTTAACTTATGATGAAGAATAAATACATTTCTACTTGTTGTGCAAAATATTAAGAAATTTTTGATTTTATTTTGTTGCCAAGTAAAAATTCCTTTTTACTTGTTTCAAGTAATTCATTGGATTTAATTTATCTCTTTAACAAAATAAGTCGTCCTATATCCGAATATCCATTAATGGCCCGAATGCTTACTGCTTTCTCTTTCGCAATAATACATAACTAGTTGGTTTTTTGGATTGCTCGAATGGGTTGTAAATTGTTGTTTCGACGCTTCCAGAGTACATGTTTGTACATTTATGTCAGTTGATCTTTTCTTCTCTTTTTGTTTAGCTTCAACCCTTCCTTTCTAGTTGCTCATATGAATCATAAATTTACTGCTGTTGATACATAATGAGATACGCATAAGAAAGTACTTATAAAAAAAGTAACCACTGCAACCACTTATGTTAAGTAGGCAATTGTCAACATTCTAGCAGTTTATTTCTTAAGGTATTGAATTTTTTTCTTAATAGAAATTAATAAGCAGTTTCGGAGAACAGTTTTTGGGATCTGTCAGTTAGAAAGAGCTTCTTTCAAATTATCTAAAAATTGTTTAATATATATGCGATTTATATTACCATTTGTATTTTACTTTTGACCCAATGGTGTTGCTTTCTATTTTCTGATGTCTAATTTCCCATTTATTTTAAACTTCTTTTCACTTTTCTTTTGAAGTATATTTGTTATTCATTTGTTGTTCACCTTTATAATGTGGAACATTTTAGTCTTTTCTCCCTTAAATGAATCGCTAAATTAAATTACTTAGGTGTCTACATGATGAATACAAGGAAAGAGAGGGAATAAAGAAAATGACCCGATTTAAATAAATAATAAAAAATATGTAAGACAATGAAACTGTTTTTATTACAAGACAATATTTTCGATCAATCCGAGCCAAATTTCCATTTAAAAAAAAAAAAAAAAAAGAGATGATCAAAATAATCCTATCATCCACTGTCCTTTGCTAAGGCCTGGTCCAGCAGCAATTCAGTAACCATCAGCAACTAATGCCCTTTACTTTAGGCTTTCAAGAGAGCATCAGAATGATGAAGGAGAGGGGCATGGAGGAGAGATGCGTGGTGAACTACTGGTGCGGCATGGAGAACAGCGGCGCTGTGCACGATAGGTGCAGCATGGAGATAGGTTTTAGCATGGCTGTAGGTGACCAGGGGAGCGACGGGGGCCACTGCAGGAACCACGTATCTCACTGGCTTGTGTTCCCATTCCACTTTGGTGATTCTGGAGGAGGAGTGCGGAGCTGCCACATAGTGGAGGGCGCTAGGCAAGACTGCTGTGGCTGAGCACACGGCCAGGATGGTAGCGAAGATGACCTACAATATAAACAATCAGAGATATAAGTTTTTAAATAAAAACTATTACTTTAAATAAATAATTCTCTAAAAATGCTACAAAATGAATCTGATGGAGGTAGAGAGTAAACGAGAAATTAAAGTTTTAATGTTACAGTGAATTACTTAAAAAAAAAAAAAAAAAAAAAAAAATCTGAAAGGTTTCAGATTTTAAATTACGTCCAAAGGGGCGTTTTTTTAACGTTTTGTATGTTACCTTTAGTTATTAAATGTCATCTTCTTTGCACTTAAACCATAAAATTCAGTTCAATAGCAATGTCACAAAATAATTTTTAAATGAGCAAATCTTTAGAATTTCCGATACACAGTTCCGTGCGCCATTGCTCGCTTTGAAATCCTTGAGTTTGTTAATCAAAAATTCGTTCAAGTTTTACAAAATATGAAATCGATAATAAAACAAATTCCAAATTTCAAATTTGGTCTTCCCCATGCCCATATTCGTAGGAGAATTACGTCATTCAAAATTCGATGGCTCTATGTACCGTTGTTTTATCACAATGCGAGAAATACACATACATTTAGGCAGATTTTTCATTATTTAATTTCTTCAAATATAACGCAGGACTCTAACATTGGGTGGCAATAGTTTGAAAAGTGAAACGGACATTTATAGTGATTCAACGCAAAATCGCAAAACGAAAACATTACTCCTTCAGGGACAAAGCCCCTTTGAACAAATAATTTCACCTTCTATTAATAATTGTTATTGTTTCCCACCTACTAGCATTTAAAATTAGAAATTCAGTTTTCATGCATAATATGTAACGTCTTATTTCCCCACAGTTTCTTCAAGAGTACCCATTTGTACCTTAGGAAGCTCTAAACAAAAGAAATTAATCTATGTGTTGATATTACTTGTTTACCATTTTAATTTTTCTAATTTTTAGTACTTAAGACATTCTTGTTCACCTTTAGTTATTGTTAAGTAGCTTTCAATTATGATGTATTTCGGAAACAAAGCTAGGTAGAATCCAGATATTCTTACTGCTTAATTCAATTATCATCTCGACTTTTTTAATTCATTTGTACTTTAGGCCATAGGACTAGTTTAGGATTACTTTAGGCCATAATCATAATCCGTTTTGGCTCAGTGTCCTGTCTTGGAGGTTTATTTACTTTGCCCTTCGAATTTTTTCAGAGATCTCGATCTTTACAGCAGTTATACATTAGTCGTCTTTTGAATGAAATATGTAGCCACTGGCTAAAATCTCATTACAAGTTTTAGATATTTATTGTACTTTTTCTGCATAAAATTTATCATTAAAACTCTTCACGCAATACAGAAACAGAATGATAATGATTTAAGATTTCCGAAAACATTTATAAAAATGAATTTTCAAAGCAAGCACAGATTCCTGCAACAATACGTTCAGTAGTATGTGTTAAAACAGAACGTTGCGAGGTCGGACTGGAATACGTTTCAAGTATGGATTTTGAGCATGTTTGTAAAATATTATACTCTTGTAAATTCCAATTTTTTAACAGAAAAAGTTAATTACAAAATGCAGCTCCGACCAACTTGCGCAAAAAATCCTCTAGCATAATCTGGAATGATTTTTGCGAAGGTATGTAAGTATAATATTTGTGTAATCAAATGAATGTTTAAATGCCTATTTCAAAAGTGTTTAAGCAACTAAATTTTCTAAGCGGATTCTTTATTACTAAAGCTTAATTGATTTATTACTAAATTATTTTTTTTTTCCTGTGGAACTATTTATTTTGTCCATCGTACCAGCTTTCAGTTTTTATGTGTCCCTCCCCCCTTTTTTTTTTGCAAATTAAGGGGTTTATTGAGCAATAAAGCTAACGAGTATACGATAGATTGTATTTTAGATTGTGACTCTAACAAAAAATAGAACCAGTGCTAAGGCCAGAAGTAGGAGTCACTTTATTATGAATGCAGCTAATAGGTGGGCTACCACTACTTCCTGTGAAGCAACAGACAATTTACATCCATGCCATCTCCGGGATTCGGACCCGGGTTCATTTGTACGGCAGTTGGAATCACTAGCCACTTTGCCATTTGAGTGGCTTGCGTTCTTTACTGAAAACATAAATTAATTCTAAAATATAGTGCTTATGGAAACCTCTTCTCTCTTGTGGACTTAATCTCCTGCTTAAATTCGATCTACCATTATATAGTTTATAAATTTATAGGAAATCAAACACAAATAGATCTCTTAAACTCAGCCATATATCCAATCTTTAAACCAGATACCATCTCTTAAACGTATAGGAACGATATTTATATACTCTTTAATTCATTAATGGTCGTGCAGTTAAAGCCACGAAATACTAGCAGTGAATTTCATGTTTTTTTAATCTCGCCTGTGGAATAGTTTAGCAATTTACAGTTTTCGTAATTTTCTCCGTACGTAATGTAAATACACCCAATTTCTCATAAAAAGTCCTCATAATTAAGTATACCTTACATATATTGGTAATTCACACATGTCCCCAGATTCGTTGCCACATCAAGAATACGATTATTTGATTATGCCAACTCTAGGGCTCTATCACTAAAACAAGAGGCGCTTTCGCGGAGGACCTTTCTTGTGGACAGGGCTTAAAATTTTTAGAGGTAGTAGTGCCGGAGCCCTAGGGAAGACCGCTAAGAAAGAGGATTATGAGTAAATAAATAAATACAATGACTATTAAAATCATTAATAATTTAAAAATTAAATAGTTAATGAGTATCGCATTAATTATTTAATTGATAATTATTATTTAAATAACTCATAATTAATTTGTTATTATTTATAAAAGTAACTGAAAATTAAGTAGTTAAATAATTAATATTAGATAAAATGTACAAAGATAAATTAAAATTTAATATGCGATTTTTAATATAATTTTATTGCTAAAGATAAAATTTTCGAGATCCAATTTCTACTGAAATAATTGTTCAGCTATATAAAAGAAGTACCGGACCGTTCTTATTTAGGGCTCCAGCGCGCTCCGGCTAGAATTAGAATTTATCTACAAAACTAAGAAGTGCAGGAACCGAAATCCGGTGGGCTCTGGCGCAGTTTAAGCTCTGCTTGTGGCTATTATTTAGCATACATTTGGGGAATATCTCTAAAGCATCAATACTTTAGCCAATCTGTTCGCTAGTATTACTAAAACACACGTATTGGTATTACTGGTATTGAGATTTTTATACGCTTGGCTACTGGTGGCTCCGTTACATCATGCGTTATGAGATAAATCAAATTATAGCACCACATTCTTAAAATATTTAAATTTAATTCCTCAGTATTGTATTTTCATTGTATTATTGTTATTTTCTTCGCAATCTAATTTGAGGTGCAATGAGTTGGCTGTAAAACAGTTTTTGAAAGTTTTCTCACCTCGTTTCACATAAATGTTAGTAAATTTCCTAAAAAAAAAACTTCCCTCATGGCAATTTTCGAAAAAAATATTGCATGCTTTGCTTAGGAAGGTTACGTGATCTAATCTACTTTGTCTACTTTCTAATCTCTACCTAATCTACTTTGTTACCTCAGATTCATGAATTAATTAATCTTGTTTTCAGTACAAAACATCCAAACTAAGTCTCGATCATAAATTAATGTTCTAATTAAAGTCCTCTAAAGTTTTTTCTGCCAGTACCTCCCGCAAAGGTTTCAGATTGAACTTTTATGCTATATAATAAAAAATATATCTGTTATATATTCAAAAGAATATATAAAGAGCAGAATATATAGAGAGATATATTTCAAAAAGCGTATTTGCGCGAGAGACAGTAACACGGAGAAAAATAGTTTAACTTAACATCAATAAATACCAATTCTAGATATATTGATTCATTGCATTAATTGTTCGCATAAATATATTTTCAAATACTAAATATTAGATTAAAATATTTTTTTCCATAACATAAGTCTGAAATGCATTTGAATAAATCTTTTCAATGAAAAAAATTATGTGACATTCTTAACAGAAAATGATGTTTAGAATATAACCATTATAATATAAAGATTTTTTAAATTAATTAAGAGTTTATATTTTATATGAAACATACTTTTTATAACAAACTACGCTACATAACTTTCATTTGTCAGTCTAGTTCAACAAACGTTGTCACTATATTCGACTGGCAATAAAAATTATAATTCTGTTTTAATTAATATTATATAATAGTATTTCAAATAGAGTGAAAACATGTGCTAAAATATATATTCTATAAATAGTAGGAATTAATCGTTCCCCAGCTTGTATTATTAACAGATCCATATTACGAATATTTTAGATTAAGTTGATTGATTAAGACAAAGGTGCTATCTGCCTTCGTGGAGGGCTTTTTAAGGAAAACTAGTTATCAAATCCAAGTTACTCATGTGGAAAACCATGAAAATGAACCCTGTAGCCAGGCCTTCTGCCGGGATTCGATCCCAGGTCGAACAACAGTGTTCAGTGACTTTGCCACTTCGCCCTGGTGGGCCTATGAATATGTTAGGTATTAATTCAGAAGTCACACAACAAAAATCAGCGTTATATTTACAAAATTTTCACAGGACTAGTTTCGATGGTTTTATCGAACCACCATCCTCAGCTGCAAAACCGCAATTGAACAAGGTAGGAAATAATGATTAGATAAGATAAGAAAGCCTGGACAAGAATAAGCAAGTGGCGCCATCTGTTGGCGAAACCAGAACTAAAACATAATTTCTCTAAAAGCATCTGGATGTCATCTGGATATCATCTGGATGAAATTGCTTCTCCGCAAATAAATCATATTTTTTTAATTAAAAAAAAATTAAATATTTAAAAAATTCAGCTTTTGTTCTTTGTACTTAGTCTCGCACGCTGGAGATAACAGTGTTTTAATCTGTGCAGTGTTGCCACTGCTCGCCTGCAAATCGTTGGGTTTGTAAAAGTTCCTTAAAATTTTACAAAATGTGAAATATAAAATTTGAAATTCAAAATTCGGGCTTGCAGGTGCCTGTGTTCGGGTGGAGGATTACACTATTCAAAATTTGACGTTCCCAGATACAGTCCTTTTTTCACAGTGCGAGAAACATACGTATATTCATGCAGATTCTTCATTATTTAATTTCTATAAAAGTAATATTGGACGATAATATTTTGTGGCAGCAGTTTTAAAAGTGATTCATACATTTAAAGTGATATGCCGCTACCCTTTTGGGGTAAAAAGGGGGGGGATCCATCTTGGTTGTTCGACCATTTAATTGGTAAAACATTAAAGCAGGGGTTCTTAAACTTTTTGAAATTTGCACTACATAAATAAATATGTATTATAATTTACAATCATGTAATATTACCATTATATGTACCATTAGGATTGTCGTTTTATATCCATTTAAATCTTTCATTAAAAAAGTGCACCACCAAAAATAACGTAATGTACCATGGTTTGAGAAACACTGCTGTAAAGCCCTGGATGGCTATATCTATCTAATCAAAGGATTACTTTAAAAATCGATTTTTCTATAGGAAATCGTCTCACGTTTACGTTACATATAAGGAAAAAACACTTGACTTCTGTTGACCCTGACGAAAACGCCTGTTGAAAACCTTTTATCGGGATTTTTCTACAGCTAGGGGGGGGCCAGCAGAGAGAGATAATACAGATATATTTGGTGCATTTAAAGAAAATAATAATAGCTTCCAAGACAAAATTTAAAGTAATGAAAAAGAGTAGCCAATGTTTGCTTGCTATAAAGCCTCTCAGTAGCCGGGTGGTAAAGTTAGTAAATATAGGTAATTCGACTCTAATCACGGCTAGAGCTCTGGCTGCATAGTAGTTTTCGTGATCTTCCCCATGTGCAACGTGGGGAAGATCACGAATTTCCCTTCAAAAGTCCTCTATGAAGGCATCTCTCGTATTCAAAAGTGGTATAAATTCACATGAGTTATTAGTATACTCCCTACTACTAATAACTCTTAATATTCAAGCTTTTAGAAATATCACTGATTTCTAAGATATTTTCTCTCGTTTACTTTTCAAAATATGGTAACCTATACTTAAACAGTCAATAATAGAAATAACGGTCATAAAGCGTTCACATTCACTGGTTATACTTGTATTCGTTTATATTCGTTCGTATATGTATTATTTCTTTCACACCTCGTTCATATTTACTGTATTACCTAAGTAAGTAATTTGAAATAACTTTGGGAGTATAATAAAATTATATGCAGATTTGCGTTTCCATGTTATGGTTTACAAGAAAAACAGCGAAACAATAAAAACATTTGAAACTTCTTATATAGTTCAAAGCTTCTGAAGGGTTGCTATCTGAGAAAACTGAATAGTTAGTTATTAATTAATAAAATTGAAAATCATTAAAAATTATTAAATGAATTAAATATCCTAGGAATTTGGTAAACGAGGCTTTCCTATAAAATTTTCCTTAAACTAATTTCCATTACAGATGATTACAACTTTTTCTATTAATGTAAAAATTCATTAATCTTCCATTAATGTATTTTCCATTAACCATTAATGTATTTTTCCATTAACCATTACTGTAATCTTGCATTTCTGTAAGATTTTCCTAAAACTACTTTCCAGTACAGATGATTATAACATATTTTTCTAGATTTTTAAACCGGAGAGATTAATTTCATTCCATTAAACCTACTGCTATATTTATACGAACAAATTCTCTTCTGTACAAAGTTCTGTAAGAATGTCATATTTAGGTGCTGGAATAAGAAGAGGGGACATTTTCCATTAATTTTAATTAAATATTTAGAAGTTCCTATGAGAAACTTGCGAGTAATGGAAGCTCCAAATTAAAAAATTTTAAATCAGGAAGATTAATTTTTATTTTCCGAAATCTGCGATCACAATTATAAGACTAACTCGTGTAGTCCTCTTTCTTAAAAACTGATCTCAAGTAGCAAGAGTGTTGAAACATGAATACGAGATAGGAATTTAAGTCAAGTATCGAAATGTTTCTAGATGAACTTCGGGAATAAAGGAAGTTCCATTACTTACCAACTTGAGCATGGTGAAGATTTCAACTTCTGTTGAGGAACTCTGGGAGGAGATGAGTAAGTTGAGCAGAGAAGGTTTCGTATGATTTGGACAGTGCTCTCTGAGACCAATTTATACCCAAGCGAATACACTTCCCTCCCTCCCTTTCTTGAGATGCGTCGCGTCCTACGAAGGTCCAGTTACAGGGCGTATCTTTTTGAAAGAAATTAAAATTGGGTAACAGCCTTCAAGGACGGAACCAAAAATCGAGGTCATATACACAAAGGAAGAGGGGAACACTTCGTATTCGAAAACCCCTTTACCCTCTCTCGGCATCTTAATTATTATTTGTCTTCGACTCTTACTTGCTTCAAGATGACGAGGGTTTTCCCCACGCCCATAAGAGATATATAATTCCGAATTTTGTTCTGTTTTTTTCGCTTTTTATCGATGTACAATAAATGTCAACAAATTCTTTTTGACGATTACGTGAAGGGAATGGATATATCTGCAGCGGATTTGTTTTCGATATGTGGAAGAGTAGAGAAACAACGAACGGGGGGGGGAGGCTAAATGTTTTTATCTTGCTGTGCTTTTAAATTGTGACGCTTGATAATGTCAAAATTCTTTTTTCGAATTCTGTTTTTTTTTTTTTTTTTTTTTTTTTTTTTTTTTTAGAATTTTTTTCAAGTTTATTAAGCTGTAAAATTTTTAATGGTTTTTGTCTATCAAAACTATGTTTTAGTCTGTGTCGAAACTATATCTTAAAAGACTGTCCTTTATTATGTTGTAAGTTTTGGTTTATTTAGAAGTTTGTGTAAAGTCTAGTAAATCTTACAGATCTTACTAGACTGTAAGCAGCGAGTTATAACTTTCGTCTGGAATTAAAAACCATGTCTGAAGATGGTTAAAATAACGTTTTTATTTAAATCATAAATAAACAGATAGGCACAGCTTGTGCAACAGACGAACCTCCACTTCTTGCGGATATTTAAATTAACATAATATAATGTTGAATTCAAATGCAGCTAACTTAGTCGGAGACTACGCATAAAATAGAGTACTCAAGTTGTTTCAAGATACTTAGCAGCGCATATTTTTAAACATAGGCTAGCAATATGTTAAAGCCGGAAATAAATTTAGGCACAACTGGTGTGTAAGAGGAGGCTGCAAAAAAATCTAGTCTCCCAAAAAATCCCAGTCGTCCTTTAAAAGGGGGGTACATAAGGTATTTCTCCGCCTTCTTAGCATGCCTGCGTAGTGTGGTGGTCTTCAAGCTGGGCGCGTATTCCAAAGGTCTGTGGTTCGATTCCCGGCGAAGGTGTTGCTCATTTTTCATGTCTCCTGCTTCAAAAAAAAAAAAAAAAAAAAAAAAAAAAAAAATCCTAATGTCTCTACAAAGCAAATTATTTAGATTTATTTTAGACCATGTTTGGATTTATATTGTACAGTCATTAGATTTTCTGAAACAGGAGACATGAAAAATGAGCCGAGACTGAATCTGGACCTCTCGCTTTGTCTCAAACACGCGCCATGTGTGCTACACCTGTACCCCGAAGGTATGTGGAAAGAAAGCAGAAAGTACCTTATATGCTCCCCCTTTTAAAGGGCGACTTGGGATTAGGGGGCCCAATCATCAAATCTTGGTGATGACGAATTATCATCCACCACCTTTTTAGTTCAGGCCCCACTGTAGAGTCATTAGGCTATTTTGATGCTGGAGACATGAAAAATGAGCAATGCTCTCGGACATGGACCTCTCAAATGCGCATAGAGTGCGCTACTGTTATACCACGAAGGCATGTGGAAAGGAGGGAGAAAGTACCTTATATATATTTAACAGAAAAAGTTTCACTTGCTCAGAATAATAAAACTTTAATTTTATGATGACTCAGATGTAGCCATAATCATAAACGCACTCCCTTTTGATTGGGGAATTGGAAACTGATTTATTCCCTTATTGTTAGGGATTGCTGGTATAATCAGACTTTTATCATTCATTCTATGCCTTGAATCAAGACTTTCATTTAAGGCTCAGAAATCTATGAAATTTTACATTTTCTTGGAAGATTAAGAAATTTTGTTTGTCGTCTTAGCAAATACAAAATTATTCCATGGAAACAAAATCTATAATAAGCAGATGATGGTATATTGGTATTTAATACATTTATAAGGTATTTTAAGCCACTGAAAATAAATGTTTCAGTTCACTTCCTGTGTTATATTTAGTAATTTTAATTTTCATACAATTATCGTCATATTTGACATAATGATTCTAGAATAAGTGTTAAGAAGAAACACTACATTTTTTACAACTGATAAGATTTCGCAAGAATTATTAAGTTTCTTTGAAATAACTGTCAATTAAAAATGGAAATTTCAGTAAAGTTTTATTAAATTTATTTTTAAAAGGTAAATTACTCTGTTCTTAAATCCCTGCAGAGTTTTCATACAGGTTCGCTATACAAGTGTTTTAGATCTCTGATTTAATTTGATGAACTGTGATAGCATAAATATAAAAAATAAAAAAATATTTAACAAAAAGTATAAAGAGTAAAAAATACAATAGCATATTTTATAATTATTTAAAAGCGTTTGGTTAATTTCAATAATAATAATAATAAAGTAATTTGCTACTTTATTCTGAAACATTTAAAATTAAATGTAGCTATGTGATTAAATTTTTTTAATAAAGCAACAGCCTTGGATATAGAAATTAAACAACGCCTAGATCAGATGTTGCAATGATTCGGCTCCTTGCGAGGGTAAATCAAATATAAAGGAGCCTTATGTTTCAACATTTTTTAATAGGAAACATTTACATTTTTCCAAATTATTTTTCTAAATAATCTCCTCCTTTTATGATACATTTTTCAAATTTTTTTTAAAATTTTTTTCATTCCGCTCTTGTAGAATGGACTGGTATCTAATCAGTTGCGAGCGAATGGTTTCACTTGATTGTTGGTCTCAAATCGCTTACCTTTAAGTGCTTCTTTGAAGGGTCCAACATACAGAGTGTTCCGTAGATCATGGGACAAATTTGGAGGGGTGGTGGAGTGTACTAAAAGATGCATTTTTTAATAGGAATGTAGGGTCTAAAGTGACGAGTTAAGACAGGAACGCAACAAAACGTCACAAGAGGAAAATGTGTTTATGTACAAAATCAACGCAAAGTGCTTCTTTGTAGCAATACAGTATTCACAATAAATGTTCAAAATTGCGACCACCAGCAGTAATACATGCTCGGCAACGTCGCAGAAGAGATTGACGGACATTTTGGAAAACGACAGGCATTTCGCGCACGCTTGCAGCCGCAATGGAGAGTCGAGCAACGAGGTCGTCCAGTGAGTCAACGGAAGTCTCGTAAATGATGCTCTCCAGATGGCCCCATAAAAAAATCCAAGCTGGATAAATCTGGTGAACGGGGTGGCCATCGACCGGGTCCATCACGGTCAATCCATCGGCCCGGAAATATTCCATCCAAGTAATTGCGGACCTGCACTTGGTTATGGGATGGTGCACCATCATGCTGGAACCACATGCGATCACGAACAACAGCCGGAACATCCTGCAGCAATTTCGGTACCACTTCTTGCACAAAAATGTGATAACATAAGCCATTTGTACGTGCAGGTAAGAGGTATGGACCTATGAGGTAGTCGTTAACAATACCCGCCCACACATTCACGGAGACGCGGGTTTAGAATGCATGTGGACATGTGCCGTGTGGATTATGAGTTGCCCACACGGGGGCAACACGTGTTGTAGCTATTGAAGATGCCGTCCTGTGAGAAAGTTGTCTCGTCCGTGAATAGCACATCCGATGGGAAATCCGCCTGCGCCGCATACTGTTGCAAGAACCAATGACAGAAATGAACTCGAAGAGGTGATTCATGCACAATGTTCAATATAGATTCTTCAATCCGAGGTTGTCGTGCACTTCTTTTTGCACTCCTAGTGTCAGAGGTGGCTTCAAATGACCGTTTTCACACAGAGTCCTATGCAATCTCTTGAACATCGTGTGCTTCGGCATATGCCTGTATGGAAACCGTTCCTGGTTCCACCGTAGCGCTGCTCTACCGTTCCCATTAGCAGCACCATACATGAGATGCATGTAAGCTTTTTCCCTGTGCGTTACCTCACGCATCACGCTCGACATGAGAGTTGCGAATGATCCTCTGATGCATCGGATCGTGGTTTGTCCGGCTCACTACCGCCCTCTACCGCTGCATTGCCAGCCAGTCACAGCTGTAGTTCCTATTACTGTTAGTGTTCCCTTTTTTGAACATTTATTGTGAATACTTTATTGCTGCAAAGAAACACTTTGCGTTGATTTTGTACATAAACACATTTTCCTCTCGTGTTTTTTTTTTTTTTTTTTTTTTTTTTTTCGTTCCTGCCGTAACCCTTCACTTTAGACCCTACATTCCTATACAAAAAATGCGTGTTTTAGTACGTTCCACCACCCCACCAAGTTTGTCCCATGATCTATGAAACACCCTGTATAAAAATAACATGGTGATAAGTCTGGGCTGTAAAGTGGATGATTAAGCGTTTTCCAGTACATTGGCACTAGTTTCTACTGCGTTACACTTGCTGTATGGGACCTCGCGTTGTTGTGGAGGATCAACACCTGACGGATGGGACAGTGTCATCTTTTGCGTCGATGCTGAAGCCTAACTTGATCCAAGAGACCGAAGTTGCATTGATGGCCTGACGTCCGTGTAAGAAATCCACCAGTAAGGCCCCTCGCAGTCCCAAAAGACCACTTCCAACGCTTTGCCCGCAGATAGTCGAGTTTTGGCTTACATGGGATTTCCTTCACTTTTCCTTCTCCACGCCATTCTTACAGACTTCGACTGGAGGGTGTAATGATGCACTCACGTCTCGTCACAGGTAACAATTTTTTGCAAAACAGCTTCCTCTTCTTCAAAACGAGTCTGAAGCAACTGAGAAATGCGAACTCAGCGAACTCATGCAGCTTTTTTATGATCGTAAAGTAAATTTGGAAAACAATGAGCTGAGATTTTTCTGTGAAAGATCTAAGTTTAGACAGAGGGCTTATAAGTTTAGCTTGATGCCGCCGTAAAATTTGTTTCTCTTTACCGCTGTTGCTATGTTGCTAATAGCTGGTGCTGGTGAATTTACCTTTAATTAAGTTAGTCGTCGCA